GTATCTGGGCATCCTAACTTGAAGATACTTGATTTAACCTGCTGTGATGATATCACTGATATGGCAATATTAGCCATAGCACAGTCATGTAGAAAGCTTTCCTGCCTCAAATTGGAGTCTTGCTCTTTGCTCTCTGAAAAAAGTTTTAGCTATCTTGGATCATCATGTCCCTTACTTGAGGAGCTTGATCTAACGGAATGTAGCGTCAATGACAAAGGTTAGTGTTTGATATGATGGAATTAGGGAAGGAATGGAATGGTTCATTCCATTCAAACGGAAAAAAAAACTATTTGTTTTGTTTGATGGAACGGAATGGACCATTCTTGAAGAAATGTGATTCCTTCCGTCTTGTTAATTTTGTTCACTAATGAGGGGTTGCTTTCTGCAGTATAATATATTGACTAACTAAAATTTGTTATTCCTGTTTTTTCTCAGGACTTGAATATCTGTCTAAATGCTTGGAGCTTCGGTGCTTAAAATTAGGGATTTGTACTGATATCTCAGATAAGGGATTGTCTTATATTGCTTCACATTGCAAAAACCTTAAAGAACTTGATTTATACCGGTAAATGTTACATTCACATGCTGGATTTTAATCTCTATATATATTGCTTCTACTCTTTCCTCTCAACTTTTTTTTTTTTTTTTTTTTTTATTGTAGGTGTTCAAATGTTGGTGATGATGGATTAGGTTTTATAGGCAGTGGTTGCAGAAAGATTAGGAAGCTAAATATATGTTACTGCAGTAAGATTACAGACAAAGGGATGGCTTATTTAAGCCAATTGGAGGAGCTCTCTGACTTGGAGATGCGTAGTATTATACAAGTCACAGGCATAGGTCTGACAGCTCTTGCATCAGGATGTAGGAAGCTTTCAGAATTGGATATTAAACATTGTGTGAACATTACTGATGCGGGGTTTTGGTCACTCGCATACTACTCTTGGAATTTGCAACAGGTAAATAATATATTTGTGGAGTGAGTAAGCAACTTTTTTGTGGAGTTGTGATTGTATTTGTATGTATGATGATTGATGCAGATAAACCTAAGCTACTGTGGGGTATCTGATGTGGGTTTGTGCATGATGATGGGGAACTTGACACGCATGCAGGATGCAAAGCTTGTGAACTTAACAAACGTGTCAGCAAGAGGGTATGAATTGGCACTTAGGGCTTGTTGTGCTCGACTGAAAAAGGTTAAGATGATCGGCTCCCTTAGACCGCTTCTTTCCACAGAGATAATCGAGACTCTTGGAGCAAGTGGTTGTAGAATCAGATGGGATTAATTAAATAATTAGAGGAACTCAAAGTCAAAGACTTGTTTATTCCATGAATGATTGAGACCCCGAGTTTTCTTGTTGTTTTTGGGGTTTTAAATGCGGGAGACTAAAAGATAATACTTGACTTGTAGACAAGGTTGGTAATCTTTATTCTCCAGGGGCGGGGCGGGGCCCACTTGTTATTGTGATCTACCAAAATAAACTTTCTTAATTTCCTATACCCAAAAAATTAACAAGATTTATATATTTTGAAAATTTACCAATATTACATGTACGTATTATGTAATAATAATAATAATAATAATAATAATAACAACAGTTGTTTTCTTTATACAATTGGTGACATGACCATTGCAAAACAATGGTTAAATTTCATGGAATCAAATACAATGGTTAAATTTGAATCTGATATAAAAATCCTTAATTAATTTGCACCACCATGTTCAACATCAGCTTCATGATGTTGAGTAGAGTTGGGCCTCTTAGGGCTGAGGGATGGCGATCTTATAATCGGGAAGGCGTCTAGTCGACTCAAAGCACGCTTTTGTGGAATTGCATTGTTGGCTTTCACATCAATAACAGCAATGTCTCCAAAAGAAAAGTCTTGAATTTCAGTTTCCTTTTCGTTCACCATAGCTTTAGGTGTCGAGTTTTTGCACATCAAGTAAACACAGAACTGTAAGACTCCTAGCAATATCCCTATCGCATTTGGCACCTGCAATGATGATGTTCACATTACGGGAGATGAGTTCTTACATTGTTTTTGTTATATAGTTGATTTAGAATGAAAGCGGTCTTTAGACCAGATAAATCCCCAGAACAATGATAGTGATACTCATATTTGAACCTGATATCTTATTTATGAGTTTTCACTTCTTTATTGCTATATCAAAAGAGAGGATATCAAGATCACTTACAAGGACGAAAACATCTGTGACCAGCAAAGCAAATGTGAGCCAAACACACCCGTTGACAAAAAGAGAGAACACAAGGAGAATCGGCATATACTCCACACTCTTTGTCTTTATTGTTGTTCTCTGTATGCATATTACACATATATAATTGGAATTATAATTTAAATCACTTATAAAACACACGAGAACAAAGAAGAAGAAGATGATGAGATTAATGGTAACTTTGCATACCAATGCAGCCAGAGGTGCAGCATACATCATTGTTGTGAAAGTTGCACAAAGAATGCCTGTAAACGTACGTCGTGATCCGCCTTCAAATGCCACAAGCGTGAAAGCCACAACCACTCCAAAACACACAACATCCAACACCACAAACCCGAAATATTTAACCTGAAGAAATACATAACATTTTAAGGTTATATATAAAACCACATGTATTTTGTTTTAACAAATTATATATGTTCTCTTTTACCCTTTTTTCCTTTGATGAATAAATGAAAAGTAGAATGAGGTAGAGGGATTGCATGGCGACACCAGCTGCATTAACAGTGACAATAAGGAGACCTTCATCCGGGTCAAGTAGTCCATACAAAATCCACAAAGAGCAACTCAAAAGCGTTGCAATATATGGTGTTCCATTGTAGCTGTCAGCACATTTTCTCTTCACAATCTCCCGAAATTGTGATCTGCATCATTAACAAGGTAGTAAGTCGATCAGCTCAGGTTTTATTAGCAACAGATCTTAATTTGGTAGTGAGAATCACATTTAATTTTTATGTTTCGATCATAAACTAACTGATACTTACATGGGAGAAGTGAAACTCAGTATAGAGACGATGTTTCCTGCATGATATGATAAACAAACATTTAAATGTAGAAAAATACAATGAAACAAACTGTTTTTGCATGTATATGTCAGTGTCTCAGGTTTTGAATTAGGCTCACCTACGATCCCGACTACAAAGTCTGCAGCAACCATTGTATGTATAATCGGATTGTTTGATCTGAAATATTTAGAAGCAAATTAAGGAGTTTTGGAGAAGTTCGATGGGTAGATTTTGGATAAGAATTGGAATGAATTGGTGAAAGTTTTTATGGGTTTTCCCATGAATTCCCAGTCTTGGACTGTAGCTTAGATTCGTCTTCTTATTCGTTTTGTAATTATTTTTTGTTTGAATTCTATTCCATCGTTCAACATGAACTCAAATGAAGATTCTTGGCTTTAATTTACATGGGTTTCAATTTTCAAACCATAAAAACTGAATCTCTTATCATTTATATATAGAGATAATGACATAAAATAAATAAAATGGCAACATAACTCACAATTTAGTTTTTTAAGTCACTTATTTTTATAGTGTACTCAATAGGTTGATAAACCTTCTTTTTGGCTGATTACATCGTTAAAGTATATATTTTGACCAAATAAATTGGTATTGAACATCTTATGCAGTGTCCACTGTGAGATCCAATATGGTAAAGTTTGTTATAGTTTCCTAGCCGTTTTATCCTAACTAAGACATATCAAGACTTGATAACAACAATGGATAATATCAACAATGGATGACGCATAAGGTTGAAATTCATTCTAATGGAGAATGGTATAATAAAACAAACAAAAAGAGTTTATTGGTATAACATCATGTTTCAAGAAGTTCTAATTTCAACATAGTGGACAATAAATGGATCAAAATGGAGGCCTTACCTGTACCATCCAAAAAATATAGTCCAAAATTTTCCTTTTAAATCATTAAAGAAAAACCCATAACTCATAAAACAACATAATAAAATCACATGTCGTGTACTCGTGTATCTCAAACATCATATCAAAATATTGTATCAAAACCATCTATCAAAATATCAGAGTCTAAAATATTTCACGTTGAAAACTGTGGTGTGTGTCATGCAGTCATCCCAAGCTCTTCCACTTGCAACCTGAAGTACCTGGAATCAAAACTGAAAAATGTAAGCACGAAGCTTAATGAGTCTCCCCAAACTACCACATACCATAAAAATAAACACATAATAGCATATACTGGGCCTTGCCCACTGCATCGGGCCCTATCCGGCATCGGACCGAAGTCCGATATATATATATATATATATATATATATATATATATATATATATATATATATATATATATATATATATATATAAAACATAGCAATAAACATATAACACATAAACATATAAAGCTTCCTCGGGCTTGCCCCAGTATCGGACCAAAGTCCGGAACACATAACACATGACATATAAGCTAAACCTTCATCGGGCTTACCACGACATCGGACCAAAGTCCGAAACACATAACATATAACATATAAGCTAAACCTTCATCGGGCTTGCCCCGACATCGGACCGAAATTCAGAACACATAAACAAGTACATGCAAGAATCACGAAGACATCAAACATACAAACATTCTTCGGGCTTACCCCGGCATCGGAGCGAAGTCCGACATATACTAACATACATAAGTGGGTCGACATTGGTGCCTTCGATCCGTTCCTACTGGAGGAAAACTTACCTCTCAAACTAGATGTTGGTATCTCAAGTGAGGAATCTCCGATGGCTTCAATTCACAAGGAACACTTAATCAAAAACTGAAAATCCTTCTAAGGGTAAAATGACCATTTTACCCCTGGTCAAAGTCAACGATTTTGTCAAAGTCAAAGTCAAGGTCAACTTCCAGTTGAGTTACCTCCTAACTCGTCGAGTTCCAATGCTATTCAGACTTGTGATAAACCGAGTCAACGCGTCAAGTCCCTTTACAGACTCGTTGAGCTCCACCTGGTACGGAATCAGGACAAATCGACTCAACTCGTCGAGTCCCCTTCTGGACTCGCCGAGTCCCCTTGTCTGTTTGGCTATGTTGATGGATCCAGCCCCTACCATTATGTGAGGAGGAGAAAAGATATGTAAAATAGATAGAGGTAGAAGAATACACATAGATACATAGGGTTTCAAGGGGAGTGGATTAGGGATGTCAATGGGGGCAAATGGGACGGGGAGTGCATCCCCCGCCCCCACCCCTAAATTTTCCCCGTTCCCCCGTCCCCGCCCCCACCCCCGAAATGTTCAACCTTCCTAGCCCACCCTCGCCCCTGAAACTCCTTTATTACCCCCCACCTCCGCCCCCATTCCCTCGCCCCTGGTTGATTTTGGGTTGCCTTTTTTTTGGGCTAAAATATGTTGTTATTTAGGTTAAAAGAAACTATTTTTTAGATAACAAATAATTATTTATAGCAGAATTTTATATGTTAAAAATAAAAAAATTATGACATCTTAAAAACATTATACTAACAACTTAAAAACATATTTTTGATGAATTTTGGAAGCTCAAAATCATGTTATTGTTTATTATATTTATATAATTAATATATGTAAATATATGTGTAATTTATTAACCGAGTCGTCAAGTTATTTATTTATTTATTTTTTAAATTATTTCAAACGGGACGCACCACAAGGAAAAAGGCCATTACCGGCGACAAAAGTCGCCGGTAAAAGTCCCAAATGTCGCCGGTAATGATAATAGTGGCGACGCGTCGCCGGTAATGAGTCGCCGGTACTGACTCGTCGCTATTGATCAATTTGTCGCCGCTAAAGATAATAGTCGCCGCTATTAGTATGTCGCCGCTTCTGACAATTGTCGCCGCTAATAATATTGTCGCCGGTAATGACATATGTCGCCGCTAATAGTGTCGCCGGCAAAAGTGTCGCCGGTAATGATAACTGTCGTCGGTAAAAGTGTCGCCGGTAATTTGTTTTTCAATTTTTTTTTTTTAAATAACGATTTTCGTTGCCGGTGATAATATCGCAGGTAAAAGTGTTGCCGGTGATAATATCGCAGGTAAAAGTGTCGCCGGTAATAACAATATTCGATTAAATATCAAAACCAATAGTGTCGACGCTAATTACAAAACAAACATCCTATTAAATATCAAACATAATAGTGTCAAACAAACATCCTATTACAAACAAACATCCAATATACAATTAAATATCAAAAGTCATACTATCCGAGTAGCAAAACAACAAAATTTTTACATTCTACTAAGTAGCAAAACGAGACAACATATGCAAATAAAACCCATTCTTTACATACCCTCATCGCTGTTCCCATCGTTTCCTTGATTGTTTTGGGATTGAAAAAACGAATAAAGCTCATCCCTACATGCCGGGTCGGCGAGCATTGCACGAAGATTTTCCAACTACATAATTAATAACAATATATATAAAATTATAAGTTAGATCGTCAAACATAAACAAAGTACATTGCTATATTTTCCAACTACATAATTAATAACATAAACTATCAAAATACATTGTTATTTTTAAAGTAAGATAGAAAACCAAAGTACATTGCTATATTTTGCACTTGGGACAAAAACTAAATTACCAAACTTTTTAGCAAATAACCACCACAAAACCAAAACTACCAAATCAACATGCATTTTACGATGCTAAAGTAGATTGCTATTTTACCTGTGATGGTTGTGATGGTGGTTGTGATGGTTGCGAAGGCTGTGGAATCGTCGGGAGACCAGAAGGTTTGCGGCCAATGCCTCTAATGTGGCCACGTCGCTCTCCTAATACTTTCTCGAACGTAGCTCTTTCTTGAGTTGGCGTAAACTCACTTTCACCTTGAGTTTGTTCTAGCAGCTCTTCAACTAACCGATTCTGTAACTCCCAAAAGTGAGTAACAATTAAGTATAAATAAACATTTAAATATATGATAAAATTATAATTAAATACTTACATATTGTTGTTCCGATTCAGCAGTAACAAATACACCATTCTTATCGGTGTGAGCTTTGCGAAATGTTTCCACTCTCTTAAGGTTCTGTTTAAGTTTAAAAATTAGATTATATTTTAAATAAATAATTACATGTATCGTACGGTACCTTCTTATAGCAAGTACTGCTATACGAGCTCGAACCCCCACGATTCACAATTGTTTGCTTTTCACGGATTTTTTTGTTCCTTTCTGAAGCAATTTTGTGTTCGTCAGTTTGAAAATACTCAACTGTCTTCTCCCAGTTATCAACAAGCATACCATCCGGAGGATTTGCCAATGCTCTCGGGATATCTTCATACCCTCCGACCATGTTGAAATATTCTTTTGCGTCGGCTTTACGCTCTCGAAAACCTCTTAACAAGGCTGCTTGAAAACTCTCTGTCAATAAAGTAGCTTGTGCATCCTGGTACATTTGATTGAGATCAAACTTTGTCTACAATTAAAAAAAAAAGTTAACCAAGTAAGAAACAATTATAGTTAAACCTATAAAATATATTTAAATAAATAATTACCGCTAAATGTTGTAATACAGTTTCCTTTATTTCAGGGGAAACTCTTTTCCAACTCCATTTGTCGAAAGGGACCATCTGCCACATTGTTTTCCCAACTTCTCGGGAAAACATGTCTCCCGCCTCTCCTACGGGATTAAATGTGATATCTCTATCAAATTGCATGGCTATTGGTTTCCCCTGGTTCTGCAAGATTGCTTTTTCAAGCTTTATATTTTTTGCTTTTCCTCGAGCTTTCCTTCGGGCACGTCCCTCAACTACAAATGTAATTAAAAATTATTAGAAACGACATTTAATTTATGATAATTGAACAAAAATAGTAAATAAAAATTCATGATAAGACTTACCGTCCTGCTCGTGCTGGCCAGGACCTCTACCACCTGGGAAAGGTGGGTCCTCAGCTCCGTCTCCCCCATGTCCACGACCCATGACAGCAGCCATGGTAAACATAAACAACAGCCACACTCTCATCATTTCCTGAAAAATTATAAGATATACAAATACAATTTTTATTATAGATACACATTACATAGGAATAAACATTTAGATAGGAATAAACATTTCCATTTAAACTAGAAATCCAAATACAGTTCATATTATAAACACATATTACAAATACATATTACATAAGAACTATTCTAATCAGAATCTTTCTCATATCCTTCA